GCACAAAGGGAATCTGCTTGTCACTACCAGGCACTCCTGAGCTCATCTGTCATCCTGTAGACTGACAGTGCTGCTGCCTATTGACCAGCACAAGTCAGGGAAGGTTGGTACTCTGGAATGTGTAGTGTTACTGCCACTTCATCATACTGGGGTCAGGGAGAGGGTGTCCTGGGTTCTCTACTCCATGGCATCTTATACTCTTGGAAAGAGATGACCACAAGGTACTGAGGTGTGGAAAGATGGAGGTTGCTGGCCTCTGTAGCTTCTGCTGACAGTAGTTAGCTACATACTAGACACTAAGCAGTTCCTTTGAATTCGCTCCTTTAATCCCATACACTTGAGAAGTAGGAACTACCACTTATTTCACAAAAACTTAATCCTTGGGTTTCTTTTATATATAGGCCTTACGTATATATTTGCTATAGGAAAGTGACTTCTTAACAGCCCAAATCCAGTTAGATTCTGAACAGTGTTGGAATCTGGAACAAGGACCATCACTGCAGAGCCTGTGTGCAAGTCCAAGCCCTGTGTCTACTGCTGAGTTCACCCCCACTGAGAAACTGCTGCAGTTTCTAGTATATTAGGTATCCCTCCAGCAGTAGAAAATTCCAGGCCTTTTAATGCTCCTCCCAAAAGAAGTCAGTGTCCTTGTTAGAGTACTTTTAAATGTCTGGTACAATTAAGCAAGTTTGCTGTGCACTGCCAAGTGCTGGGGGTACATTCTAGTGGGGTTCAGAACCCACATGGCAGGAAGAGGTGACTACCTGCAAGGAGTCACTCCCAGACAAGCCTCCCCTGGCTTCCTGCACCCAGTATGAGTCGGAGCCCTCTAAATCACACACTCCCTCCTGCAGCCACAGCTATTTTCTTCATCTATTTTTGCCTGTTTTATTAGGTGGCAGTGAGGCCTGCAGGCTAATCCTACATGACTTGGCCAACGTTTTAGTTAGAGCAAAAAATCATCTAGATCCCAAGAGCCACCTATGGTTTGAATTAGATGAGTACTGGGCTGAGCTTACATCTAAATCAGCCTTCCTTCTGCCTCTAGAGGTCCTGAAGGCAAGGGATTCTAAGAGTTAAAGATGCCTTTTAAAGATCCATCTTGAATCAAATCAACACAGAGGTCATTAACAAAACTGGAGCCCTGCCACGCCTGGCTAGAAAGTTACCAGTTCTGGAAGGGAGAAAAACGTGAAGAAATTACAGAGATTATAACACCTTAGTAAAAACTGGGGCATGGGCTAAGTGTCATGTGACAGTTCCCATCCCTAGTATAGACGGCTATTACATTATTTTTTTTGTTTTGTTTTGGCTATTCTTATTAACACCTTACTGTCAACATTTCTTCTAGCCATCTGAGCCTAAAAAGCAGAATAGTGCTGCAAAAAACAAAACCATGAACTTGGAACTTGGTATGAATGGTAACTCTCCACTTCCTAACCAACTGGGTAAATAAATAGTAGGTTCCTTTTTTTTTTTTTTTTTTTTGCTATACCAGGGCTTGAACTCGGGGCCTACATCTTGAGCCACTCCACCTTTTTGTTTTGAGTATTTTCAATATAGGGGCTCTCAAACTATTTGCCTGGGCTGACTGAACTGTGAGTCTCCTGATCTCTGCTTCCTGAGCAGCTCGGATTACAGGCGTGAGCCACCGCCTGGCCTGTAGTTTCCCTTAGAGAGCATTCAAGATGATGTATGTAGAAGTGCTAGCACCTGGTGGCATCTAGCAGATGGTGCCCACTAACTTCTGAACTCACAACCCCAAATGTTTTCCCTTAAACCAAAATTGATACTTCAAAATACTGGTTTAGTCCAGATTGCAAATGCTAGCCTGATGGTTCTCCATGCCTAAGAACCACTTGGAGAAACTGTTGACTACAGAAGACTCCATCCTAGGGAGTCTTCCTCAGTAGGTGAGACAGTGTGGCCCATGAGCTTGCATTTGATATCTCAGGTAATTCTGATATGAGGGATGTGTCTTGAGAAGCATTTTAACATGAAGAAAATTGAATTGTAATGGAGAAGGCAAAAAAGCACAATGCAGCCCTTTTGAGAATGAAGGAAGAGAGAGCTAAAGCATCCTGTCTTCCAGGAGGTGAGGAAGGTCAGCAGGATTTCTATTGTTGATTGTGTTAAACCTTAGTAAGAATTCATTTGACCAGTCTTGCCTAGCCTAGAGCTCTGTATGAGGCAAAAAGATTGGACACACCCACCTTGGTGGCTGGGGCAGCTGGTAAGGTAGAAACACAGCCATTCATGCAGCTTGCACAGCTGGTCATACCAGCCAGGTGCCTGAAAATGGACCAGACCCTGGAGAGGCCTCCTGGCTGTGATACCAGCAGCTCCGAAATCCTCCTTTTTCTGGGTTCAGTGACCCATCCATTGGTGTTTCTCCTCCCGCACAGGTGTTCATAAACCTATTGCCACCTGCACAGGTGTCATAGCTGACCTATTCCCCATCCCTTCAAGGGCCCTGTCCAGCACCATTTAGTTTCTCTCATCTTGGACCTGACATGGTAGCAGTGTCATGTGTCACTTAGATTATACATTTTAAACAGGGCTCCCTGTATTCAGATTGGCTAATAGACAATTATTACATACTGAAGACATTTGGACTGTGGTTAAGTGCCAAAGGAAGTTCTACTAGAAAGGAGGAAAATTCACAGTTCCTATGAAAAGAGACTCTGGGATGGCTCTATGTTGTGATTTAAAATGTTTCTTCACCTATGCCTGTGATCCCAGCACTTGGGAGGCTGAGGCAGGAGTGTGAATTTGAGGGATACATAGATCCTGTCTCCAAAAATGGGAGGGAAGGAAGAAAGGGAAGGAGGGGATGGAGAGAGGAATGAAGGTAGGAAGGAAGAAAGGGAGGAAGCGAGGGAGGGAGGATGATAAGTTAGTTCTGCTAAAAAAATAATTTAAGACAAGCCAGGCATAGTAGTTCATGTCTGTAGTCCCAGGCACTCAGGAGGCTGAGGCAGGAGGATTACTTGAGTCCCAGAGTTTGAGGCCACCCTGGGCAACCTAGAAGGACGCCAATAAAAAAAAAAAAAAAGAAAAAAAAAACTAAATGAAATAAGCTGTGCTAACCTTTTATGTTGTTATGTTTTTGTTTTTGAAACAGAATCTCACTATGTACCCCAGACTAGCCTGGAACTAATGATCCTCCTGCCTCTCCTCCCCAAGTGCTGGGATTACAGGTGGTGTGCACCATGCTTGGTGCCTTTGCTAGTATCAATGAACATCTCAGACAAGAGAATAGGATTTGGCTTCCACCTGGGGATGTGAGATCCTGCTTTGACCCTCTAATAATTTAGTTGCAGCAGAACATTTTTAGACTATCGTCCAGACCCAGATTAATAAATTTACCTCTAGGTAGGATGGCAATTGGAAACATCTGGGTCTCTGAGCGTCTCCAGGTGGTAGCTCTGGACATCCTTTCACTCTACTTCCTGACCTATCTCTGTCCTTTCCCAGATGTCATGGCTGGCAGTGGAATACCTAGGAAGGCAGAGCACACTCCGCCTCTCATTTTACAAGTGTGGTTCTTTGGGCAACTGCTCTGATCCTTCAATTACTTGAAGTGGAATTGCTTCCCGTGGAGTAAATGCCATTTATTTGAGTGACCTAAGTGAAGAGTGACCATGTCTCTGAGGTGCAGCCAGCCCTTTCTAGGAGGACTGTGAGCAGGACTAACTGCTGGCTACAGTGGAACCCGGGCATCCTGGGGGCTCTGCCACCAGGTGCTCAGGCATAGGAAAGGAGTGGCCAAGGGATGCTATACAAATACACCAGGGTTCCCCATGCCCTCTGCTCTGCCCAGGCCCCAACCCTCATCAGACAGAATTTGAAAATAAAGTGCTTTATTGCTGAGGATCCCAGAGAGCTTCAGGGCAGCTGTGGAGGGGCTGGGACTGAAGTACCCTGCCTTTTGGAGGATTTGAAAACAGTGACAGTTGGGACTTCAACATTTCAGCCCCAGAGATGGTCAAGGAAGTATGGTTTGGAGGGTACAAGGAGGCCAGAAAGAGGTACAGGTGTGCTGAGGACCAATTACGTGTGTCTTCTCCCAACTCCAAGTTCAGTGCATTCAGCAATGTCATGGTGTCAGTAATGACATCACAGAAATTGCCCAGATTGGGGCATTTTTCTCCTACCAAAGTGCTGGTTTGCAATCACTACTGGCACATGACACCCTTCTGAGCCCACTGCAAGCCTGGCCACTGTGACTGGGGGCAGTGCCAGCTCCCAGAGCTGCATGCTCCTGCCACTTGGGCAGAACATGGAGCTGAACAAAGGAGAAGGACTAGGACTGGGACCTATTCCCTCCTGAGTTGGCCTTGCTTCTGCTACCTCAACCCATCTGTCCACTCAGCCCGCTCCCCCCAATGTCTCCCAGTCACAGACTAAAGTGGTACCTGCCAGAAAGGTGCTGGGAGCTGAGTCTGACTCTCTGGTGCAGTGACTTATGGTAGGGTGGTGGGTGGGAGGGCGGAAGTGCACTACCCAGAGATCAGGAGGGGTGGTCACAGGGTCCATGTCACCCTGGATGAAAGGACTTGCCTTTCCTATTGGCCCCCCTGCCACTCCTCAGCTGACATCTGGGTGAGGGTTGGGGGGATTCACAGCAGGGCCTGGGAGTATGGGTGTGTCTGGAAGGCCTTGGCTTACTCCGTGCAAAGTCAGGACAGAGCCCGCTCTGGAGAAGAGGGAGAAGAAGGAATAACCGAGCTAGGACAGCTAATCCCAGCGGCAGGAAGGGAGACCCCCAGTGACACATGAGTGTGCACACACTTCCACTCTGCGTCCTGTACACCCTTCAACCTCCTCCCTCAACTCTCCCAGGAAACCTGGGTCCCTGACGCCTCCAGGTCACAGATCAGATAGCCTTCCAGATGAGCTTTTGCAGTGGTCCAGTCGGGGCAGAGGCAGGGTGAGGGGCAACAACGGACGTTCTCCAGTGCAGCAGCCATCCACCCCTCCCTGGGGCTGTCCCCTCCTCAGTACTCCTTGGCCTCCTGTAGCTGGGCCAGATACTCCTCCTCTGGGGGGTTGTCTGGGCAGGCCCCGCCATTGTTGGGGGGCCGCACAGTGTGGTAGCGGCTCCAGTCCCCCTTACACAGGATCCAGGGCAACCTGTCCACCTTGAGGTGCAGCTCAGGTGAGAAGTCGGTGCTGATGAGGTCGGGCGTCCCGGCGCCCTTGCCACGGGTCAGCAGCCGGTTGTTCTCATCGTAGCAGCAGTGCTGGGCCGCCAGCGTCCTGCTTTTCTCCGACAGCACAGAGCGCAGGCAGGAGTGCGCTGTGGGCTGGTAGATGTCCAGGTGCTCCAGGGGCCCACTGGCGTCCCGCCACTGGAAGCTGCGTCCCTGGATCTCATCCTGCAGGCTCACAGGATTGTACAGGACCTCCCGTGGATAGGTACATGGGCAGCTGGGCAGGTCCTGGAGCATCTGTCTCAGGTACTTGGCTAGGAAGTCATTCTTGCAGTTCAGCCACTTCTCACAGCTGTCCACCTCTGCAGAGGACAAGAAGGTCAGAGTGCCAGCCAGAGCCGTGGTGGGGTGGGGGCTGATCAAAGGTCAGCAATGGGGAGACAAGGTCTAGGCCCCAGCTGGGACAAAGGCATGGCCAGAGAGGGCCTTAGGGGCAGAAGTAGGAGGACCCACACCAGATCTGGGGAGAGATAAGGGCTCCCCCCACACCACCTAGGCACAAGAAGCTCCCCCACACCACCTAGGCCCTGCCCCAGGGCTGAAGGCTCCCAGCTGGACAGGTGTCATCTTCCACGCTGCACTTGGGAAATTTCCCTGGCAAACTGGGAAGGGACTGAGTAAGTGGGGACAGAGGGCAGCAGTTTTTAACCAATAAAGTATTTTTTACCACTGGTCTTTTTTTTTTTTTTTTTTGTGAGATTGGGGTTTGAACTCACAGCTTTGTGCTTGCAAAGCAAGCACTCAACCACTTGAGCCACACCTCCAGTCCATTTTTCTCTGGTTATTTTGGAGATAGGGTCTTGCAAAATATTTGTCCAGATTGACCTCACACAGTCCTCACAATTAGCCTCCCAAGTAGCTAGGATTACAGGCACGAGCCTGGCTTCCATTCTTCTTCATTCCTTCCTCAGGCCTTTGGACCTTGGCAAGTCACTCTGCCATCTCCACTCTGTCTTCCTTGTGGCCTTGGGTTCTGGCCACACAGATCAAACTATCCCTCCCGCTGAGCCTCCAGAACTTTGGGGCCCAATTTGCAGTGCTGTGCTTACAATGGCCATGTGTGTCCCTTAGAAGACCTGAACTCGGGAGGGCAGGTACCAGGCATCTGTCTTCTGGTAAAGCCTGGCCCCAGAACAGTGCCAGGTGCAAATATGGGCTCAGTTGTTTTGAGCATAGCCTCACCAGCAAGGTGGGGCCATCAGCAGCCACCTGCTTGCCTTGGGTGGGGGTGCAGATGAAACCAAGAGACACAACTGTAGAGTGTCTGCTGGAGGCACAGCCCACTCCCAGCTGCTTGGAGTCTTGGATCTTGACCCATTTCTCACAACACCACACCCAGCTCACCAGACAGAACCTGCAGGAGCCTCCGAAGAGTAACCAGGGAGAAGTCCCCATCCCATCTGGCTGTCCGGGACGATATCTACCCCTCCCTCTCCCCATGATCTCTCAGCTCTGTGGCTCCCAAAAAGACCTTCTTCCCAGTAGGAACATGGAACTGGGAAAGACCAACAGATCTGGCTTGGAAACTGGGGTCCCCTTGCAGGGAATGTAAACCCTCCAACTGGAGACCAGATTCCCCTCCCAATAGAGGGGCTCCCCCAGCCTCGGCAGCCAAGCCGGTCTCTCCACTGACCTGGGTCAAACATGTCCGTAGCTTTGTGGGCCAGGGGCTGCCATATCTCACTGGAGAAGTCCAAGATGTCCTCAACCTTAGTGCCTTTGGGAAGAGAGGAGGCCAAGCTGGTGGCACCCCAGGGCACTTCTGTGCCCCTGATGGGGAAGCCCAGCCCTCACCCACATTCTCAGGGGACCAAGCCCAGAGTGTAACCACATCAGCAGGGACTGGAGCTCGTATCACCAGGATGGGGGGCAAGTTGCATGCACAGGATTGGGTGGTGGTGCAGGCATAGCTGCAGGGCTGGGTCCTCTGCTGGTTGCCACTGCTGTGACTCTCACTGCAGGGAGACCAGGGTCTCCACTCCTCCTGACGCTCATAGTCTTGGTCAAGGCAGGGAGGCTGTGTGAGTGCACACAGCCCACAGGGCACACTTGTGTGAGTAAGTAAAAGGTTTCCTTTCCCCGGATGGATGCAGCCTGTGCCAGGGCTTTCAGTCTAGTGTAAGGAGCATGGGCTGCATTTTCAGTGCCACCTGCTTTCTCGGCTGCCTATCCTTGTACAGTGAACAGCATATGCCACAGGTGGTTCTATGTGGGCAGTACAAAGCCCAGTCACTCACACTGTGCTAATATAGAATGAATAAGAGAAGATATTTGGGGCTGGAGGCCACCTGATGACTATCAGTGTGACTTTGGCTAGTACCTTAGATTTCTTAGCTACAGTTTTTATGTCAATCAAAACTGAGGATGACAATTCTACCCTGGCATTGAGGTAACTAGAGTATCCCTGATACCCATGTTAGAACACTCCTGATCTGAAGGACCTCACACACACTGTCTGAGCCTGTAGTTCTCAAGATGAGTGGGGCCTATAACCTGGAGCTCTGTGTGGAGCCCTAATGGACTGGCACATTGGTTCTCTCCTGGGTTCCTGGCAGCAAGAGTTTGAGAACAAAAGCTCAGCATTGTGACAACTCTGTTGGTTTACATTATTCTGGAAAATTGGAAGAGCCTGTCATGGCACCTCAGTCCAATGACAAGACCCCAGAGCCCCTGGGGAAATGGCTGCAACTATTCACAAAGCATGTATACACTAAGAGGAAGCCAGAACCGTAATTATGCAAAAATTAAAATCACCAACTGAGCAGCTGCGAGCATTAAGAGGCATTTTCTGAACAATCTGTGCTGCTACGTCTTTTTCTAATAAAAATAATAAAATGAGCCAATGCTTTGTTTACCATATGCCAGCCCCTCATGTAACACTGTTCACGACCAGCCCTATGCATTAAAGTCTGTACCATTCTCTATTTTGTAGAGGAAGGAAATGAGGCACAGAGAGGTTAAGGAATTTGCTGAAGGTCATTCCGTTTGTAAGCAGCAGAGTCGCGCAATCTGGAAATGCAATCAGTTGTAAGCGGTGAGGCTCGTAATATTTCTGAATTTGTTGGAAATTGATGGATGTGAATATATAATGTTCATATATATAATATATGATGTATATAATATTATATATTAACAAGTATCTTTTGCTTAAAGAATCTCAGGACTGTTGTGAGGGTTAAATATCTCTGAAAAAAACAAACAAACAAAAAAACACCAAAAAAAACCATTTTTGGAAGCTGCTAGTATTATACTTTTAAGCTGAGGATGGCGTTTGCATAAGACCCTGGCCTCTCCAGCTCCACCTGCCTGGGAAGCCATCAGCCCTCCCCTCCACTCCCATTTCTACTCAGAGAGAAGGGAACAGCCTGTGACACCAAGCTGGGGCACTCACCGTTGCTGTCTGGCTCCTTGAAGTCCCAGCTGTCAAGGTCCAGCCAGCTGTCTGTGACCCCACTGAACCAAGATTCTTCTTCTTCCTCTTCCTCATCGTCGTCCTCCTGGTCCTCATCCTCGTACTCTGCAAGGTAATCCTCCTCCTCCTCCTCCTCCTCCTCCTCCTCTTCCTCCTCCTCCTCCTCCTCTTCCTCCTCCTCCTCCTTCTCCTCCACCAGTTCCTTGAGGCCAGAGCCCCCTTTCTCACCCACTTGGTAGCCCCAGAAGAAGGGCCAAAAGGGTAGCCAGTTACGGGTGTCCCGAAGCCCGTGATTGTTGGGCTTCGCCAGCAGATCTATCTCCACCTTGGCCTGGGGATCTTCCACCACCTCCATGGTCACCTGCAAGGAGAGAGATGCCAGGGAGGGAGGCCTCAGAGCAGGACTCCAAGGACAGGAAGATGACGGGGCTGGGACCAGATGCCCAGCCTGGCCTGCAACCCCATTGTCTTCTGTCCCAGACCTTGGCCCTTCAGGGCACATGAGACATAGCTGAGGACCTGCCATGCATCAGAATCACCTGGAGATTCCTGACTCCCAGCTTCCCATACATACGCTGAGGAAGAGGACAGGCATGGAGATTGTAGCATGTGGGGAATTCTGGCTCTGCCACTTACAGGCTGCCTGGCCCCAGGGACAAAAACCAGCACTGAGGCCCCATTTCCTCCCTGCAAGACTGGAAAGTGAGAACTCCCAACATCAGATCCCCAGGTGGCCCTCTCTCACCACACTAGCCAAATAAGAGAAAATCGTTTGCATGAAATTGAACTTCAAAAACACTATTTTGGCAATTGTCAAATAATAAGAGGGCACTGAACAAAATTTGGGGAAAAAAGAGCAAAAGACAAAGAAGAGCAAAAATCACCTACATTCTATCATTGACAGATAAGCTTCCAGTTTTTTGTATGTGTGTGTGTGTGTGTGTGCACATACACATATATATGTACATATGCATTTAAATGTATATAGAGAGCGAGAAGTACTCTACAGCAATTTTAGAATATTATGATCTACTCTTTTGTGGGTTTTCTTTCCCCTCCTCTTTTGGTGAAGGTGTTTTACAAACTGTAGCTGGTACACAAACATGCATAATTATTCTTCTTGGAAATTCAGGACAGTCAGTGGACTATGACATTCCATTGCCAGCCCCTCTGTTTTCCTCTTCTGAATGCCCTTCTGGGGTATCCCCATGCCCCAGCTCATCTCATAATAAACTGAACCCCTCTTCAGGGCCTGTAGCAAGGGACCTTGGATGGGAACAGACCTGTGGCCTTTCCAGGTCTCCTCCCCCACATTCCAGACACCCATTCTAGAAATGTCTGTGGACATTTCCCAGTCACTCGTTCAACCCTCACAGGTTGGGGCTCTTTGTCCCTTGCTGTGGCCAAGGGAATGAGGCTCAGGGAGCCAGGAGACTTGCCCAAGGTTCCCAACTAGAAGTGGGGAACACAGACTGGGGGCATTCAAGTGGCAGAAGCTCTGCCTAGCAAGCACAAGACCCTGAGTTTATCCCCCAGTACCACAGGAAAAAAACGAAAAAGAAAGATGTCAGGCACCAGTGCTCACACCTATAATCCTAGTTACTCAGGAGGAGAGATCAGAAGGATCATGGTTCAAAGACAGCCTGGGCAAATATTTCTAGAAATTCTATCTCGAAAAAAACCAACACACAAACACACAAAAAAACCCGAAACCAGAGCTGAGCCAGGCACAGTGGCTCATGCCTATAATCTTGGCCACTCGGGAGGCAGAGATCAGGAGGATCACGGTTCAAAGAAAGGCAAATGGTTGTGAGACCCTATCTCCAAAAAGCCCATCACACACCCACACACAAATGGCTGTTGGAGTAGTTCAGGATGTAGTCCCTGAGTTCAAACCCCTGTACCACAAAAAACAAAACAAAACAAAACAAAAAACAGGGCTGGAGGAAGTGGCAGAGTGGCTCAAGTGGTAGAGCAACTGCTTAGCAAGTGTGAGCCCCTGAGTTCAAATCCCAGTAATGCCAAAAAAGAAAAGAAGGAAGGGAGGGAGGGAAGTAAAGGAAGTAAAGGAAGGAAGGAAGAAAGGAAGGAAAATAAGTAGGTTTTTCTTCCCATGCTTCCTGGGGAGTATACAGAGAGCACACCCTCTATCTTCATACAGGAACACCCCACAAGGAATAAGGATGGGGAGAGCTGTCAGTCCAACCCCTCTCTGAGGTCCACTGAACCACTGACCATATATTCTCACCTGGATGTTGGGGTTTGGGGTACTTAAGTCTGCGCTGGCCAATTCTGGTAACTTCTGCAGCTCCAGCAGCAAAGGGGTGGTCTCTAGGGCCCTGGGAGGGGCAGTTGCACCTGGGGTCAAGGCTGATGGCTCTGGAAGGGTCTGATGCCTGTGCTGGCAAGGTCCTTCCTGGAAGTGGGTTCCAGGGAGCCCTGGTGTCTCCTCCTCCTTCTCAGAAGAGCAAGGATCTTGGGTGACTGAGGCCTGGGGAGAGAAGAAGACAGGATGACTGAGGTCAGCGTTTACCCCAGGTGAACAGGAAGAGGCTGATCCAGGAAATCAGAAGCCCCCGGAAGTGTGATGACTCCACATGCTCATCCTCTGACTTGGCTCCACCTGGACCATGAGTATGGATTGTGGACTGAAACACTGTCTGCTTTCATGGCCTCAGAGGATGGGTGAAACGTAGCCGGGTAGATGGTAGACTATGTCCCTTTGGCAACTGATGCCAACACGAAGCAAAAAAGGAGGATTAGACTAATCCAAACTTTCTCATTTACAGATGAAGAAACTGAGGCCCAGGAAGAGTAAAGAGTTGTTTAAAACAGTGGTTCTAGGTTGGAGGTGTGGCTCAAGTGGTAGATCAACCTGCATAGCCAGTGTGAAGCCATGAATTCAAACCCTAATACCACACACACACACAAAAGACAGTAGTTCCAAAGTGCTGTATGTAGACCACCTGCCTCAAAATCCTTGTTCCTATCTATTTCTACATCCTGAGTCCTTACAAGTGAGAGCAGAATGAGAACCAGGGCTGGGCCTGGTCCTATAGGGCGATGGCAGTGGCCCTTTCCCCTTAGCATACTCTCCAGTTGCCTGTCCACTTGGGGGCTGATTCCTTTCATCTCTGACCTTTCTCCTGCCCACCTGGCACCCCACCCTCTTCCTTGCTGCTTGTGTGGCTGACTGTTGACCAGTTCATCCCCTCCACCAGCCACTAGCCACAGTGCCCATGACAAGACTATCCTTCTTCAGCTGACACAGTGAGGCAAAGGCAGACCTGGCTGTCTCCATCACCTTCTCCTGTGTTCACCTCCTCAGACAGTGGGCACTGGGGGTTCAGTGGCCCCACCTACATTCAGGCCATGTCTACTGCCCAGGTCTCTATGGCAGGGCAGAAAGAGCTTCTTCCAGAGCTGCCCTTGGGGCTCTCAGGGCCCGGGAGCCTGTGGGCCCTGCCCCACTCGGGTCTCAGCCTTGGCCTCTCCTGTCTCAGCCCTGGGACAGCATGGTAGAGCTGGAAAATTGCCTCTGGAGGGTCAGGCAAGCTTGAAGCCTACATTCCTACATGGAACTAATGTCAGGATGTTGTTTAGCAAACATGTCAACAGCATTTACCATATGCCAGACACTCCGTGCCTCATTTTACCCTCCGAGTAAAGACGATGGCAACTAAGACACAGCGAAGGCAGGTAACTTGCCCGATGTCACAGACATTTAGTGATGAAGTCAGGATTTGAACCAGGCAATCTGGACCCAGGGCCCAAACTCTTAACCATTGTGCTACATAACAACAGAAGAGAGAACTGAGTCCTTCCACTTCCCAAGTGGGAAGTAGACGGACTCTGAATCAGTCTAGCTTTTCGCTCTCACTGACTCTCTTCTCTCACAAGGTTATAAAAGATTCAGAATCTCTGCCTCTCTCCTTTGACCTCCCTTTCTGAGGTCCCCAGATGCCTGGCTCCAAGGCTCCTTCTAAGAACACCTGGTCCCAGGGTAGCCCTAGACCCTGTCAGTCTAGGGCACAGTCTCTGTGTGAGTCAAAGCTAGAAGGGAGGTGGGGGGGTAGTGGAGCAACAGGACCCCATCCCAGAGGCCTTGAGTGTCCCTAGGGGCTGCCTTCCTGCAGATCCCACCTACACTTCCTCCAAAGCCCCAACTGTCCTGGGACAGTTCAGATGGCAGGTCGGGGGACAGGCAGACTTTGGGACTGGTCTGGATGCCCTCATCACAGGTGGGCAATGTAATGGTGAAATGGTGGTTGTCATTTGGGGACATTTGGCACTGCCCTGAGACAGGTATGGTTGTCACAACAGGAGGGGCTTTCTAGTAGCACCTAGTGGGCAGAGGTCAGGAGTGTGTGTGCAGCAGAAGTTGTGCTGTAGCCAGGAAACGCTGCTCTAGAGTTGGCTGCCCGGTCTAAAGTCTCACCTGGGGGCCTCTGCAGGGGAATCACCTTTGTGACCTTCTTTACCTTCAAAGTGGGGACAATGACAGGGAAGAGCTAAGCCCAGGACTCCACTGTCCAGTAGGTGCCCAGAATGTTCAATTCCAGCCCTCTCCACACTCTCCTCTTCCTGCTGCCCAGTCAGACCACAGGATGAAATGGCCAGAAAAGGTCCCAGTTGCCCAGGCTGCTCTTTCTCCCTGGAGCCTTCTGCTCTGTACAGAGCCCCTGGGGACTCCTGGAGTAGAAAGGACAAGGGCATCATCCCATCTTAGAGGGGATTCCCTAAAAGCCCACCCTGAGACAAGTCAAGTGCAGGTGGATCCCTTGGAAGGTAATCCCTGGAGATGCTAACATGGGGTGGAGGAGCAGGACAGTGCAGAGGAGACAGCTAATAAAGAATGTCTGTTAAGCCAAGATGCCCCACTACTGACGAATGGATCAAGAAAATGTGGTATTTATACACAATGGAATTTTATGCAGCCATGAAGAAGAACGAAATGTTATCATTCGCTGGTAAATGGATGGAATTGGAGAACATCATTCTGAGTGAGGTTAGTCTGGCCCAAAAGACCAATATGTTCTCTCTAATATGTGGACATTAGATCAAGGGCAAACACAACAATGGGATTGGACTTTGAGCACATGATAAAGCGAGAGCACACAAGGGAGATATGAGGATAGGGAAGACACCTCAAAAACTAGATAGCTGTTGGTGGGAATGCAAACTACTACAACCACTCTGGAAAAAAATTTGGAGGCTACTTAAAAAGCTAGACATCGATCTACCATTTGATCCAGCAATACCACTCTTGGGGATATACCCAAAAGACTGTGACACAAGTTGCTCCAGAGGCACCTGCACACCCATGTTTATTGCAGCACTATTCACAATAGCCAAGTTATGGAAACAGCCAAGATGCCCCACCACTGACGAATGGATTAAGAAAATGTGGTATTTATACACAATGGAATTTTATGCAGCCATGAAGAAGAACAAAATGTTATCATTTGCTGGTAAATGGATGGAATTGGAGAACATCATTCTGAGTGAGGTTAGCCTGGCCCAAAAGACCAAAAATCATATGTTCTCCCTCATATGTGGACATTAGATCAAGGGCAAAGACAACTAGGGGATTGGACTTTGAGCACATGATAAAAGCGAGAGCGCACAAGGGAGGGGTGAGGATAGGTAAGACATCTAAAAAATTAGCTAGCATTTGTTGCCCTTAACGCAGAGAAACTAAAGCAGATATCTTAAAGCAACTGAGGCCAATAGGAAAAGGGGACCAGGAACTAGAGAAAAGGTGAGATCAAAAAGAACTAACCTAGAAGGTAACACCCCCGCACAGGAAATCAATGTGAGTCAATGCCCTGTATAGCTATCCTTATCTCAACCAGCAAAAACCCTCGTTCCTACCTATTATTGCTTATACTCTCTCTACAACAAAATTAGAGATAAGCGCAAAATAGTTTCTGCCGGGTATCGAGGGGGTGGGGGGAAGAGAGAGGGGGTGAGGTGGGGTAAGAGAGGGGGTGGGGGCAGGGGGAGAAATGACCCAAACATTGTATGCACATATAAATAAAATAAAAATTTTAAAAAATGCCTGTTAAGCCAATGACCACAGTGGGCAGCTGGAGCTCCATCATACTTGGTACCTCTGGGAACTGTAGTGTTGCTCAGGCCTCAATTACCCTGCTGTGGGGTAGGAGTTGGGGTGTCTATACATCAACTCCACCACACTGCTGGAAGGCTGCTGGTGGCAGAGGACAGGATTCCAGGATGGCTGGGGACCAACAGGCCATGGACAGCTCCGGGTAGGCTCTCTACTAGTCAAAGCCCTCGGGGACCTAGACAGACACAGGCTGCTAGAAGAAAGGCCTGGGATGTGGGCTGAGCCCTCAAGCCTCTGACCTGGAGCCACCCTCTCAGCATATCTTGAGCCTCAGGCCTGGGCCAGGCTCACTATCTACCATTTGCTACTTACTCCAACTGGAAGGTATGTTCTTTGCGGGCAGGAAGGTCTGTCTGCTGTGTTCTCTGAATTCCCAGTGCTTTGCACAGTGCCTGGTATATTGTAGGCTTTCAATAAATCCCTGCTGAGTAAGTGAATGAATCCCAGCAGTGGAGAGGGTGACTGTGATTGACTTTATGTTAAAGCAATGGGGATGCAGGGAGGGGAAGGCAGTAAAGTACAGTCTCAAAGGTTACAAGTACCTGAGCTAGGACCCAAACTCCGCTCTGCCTGCTCTAATCTCCACGCGTGCTGCCCACACACACACAATTACTTGTGGCAATGACCTTCATGAGCAACCACCCTTTAAATTCAGCACCTCCCTGCTCATCGTCTTGTCTGGCAGCTGCATGTGGTAGTATGGGCTGGAGTTCATGTGCCTTGGGTTCAAATCCCAACTCATCCACTTACCAGCTTACTTAATGTGCCTCAGTTCTCCGTCTGTAAATTAGGGAAAGCACAGAGCATTGCTGAGTTAGACTGGGCCTTGCACAGGGAGAGATAAGAAGCACCCCTCTAGCCTGGCTCTGTCAGCTCTTTACTTGCAGACACTCTACCACTTGAGCCACGCACGCCACCAGCCCAATCCTTTACATCTTATTCAGGTCTGAAGACACCCCCGGTTCCCTGCTCCCTGCTCCCTGCCAACATCACCGCTGTAGAATCCCTCGGCAGCTGCATCCTCGTGTTCTGAGTCCCTGGCCTGTTTAAGAACACCTGTCCTCCCCTACAAGACACCTCTTCCCCTCTATTATGCTCCTGTGAAATTTCAGGCATGCACCAATGCACGGCTCTGTTCTTCTGGAGGGTGGTGTCAAACCTTTCTGTCTGTCTACGTCTCACTCTTGCTCTCCTGATTCAGGTATTTGCAGTGAGTATAACAGGATCCTGATCCCTTGTTTGGACACTGGAATCCTGTTGCCAGGTGCAGGCAGAACCTCCGCCTCCCCCTCCCACCGGTTGCAGAGGCCTAGGCCCATCCCTCCCCAGGGACAGCTGTGCACCCGGTGACTCTGAACCTCCCAGGAGAGCTGGTGACCAATGCCTTCACAGCAGTTGCCCCTTCTGCCAGGCCTGGGGCCACTGGAGTGGGACGGGGCTGGAGTCCCCTTCTGACAGTAAGCACTGTTCTTAGCCCCCCCACCTCAGTCCCCGTGGAGGCCTCAAAGTTCCTCAGTGTGGCGCAGGCAGCACTGGCAGAGCACACTGTTCCCAGTGCAGGGTCAACTTCATGGCGTGCCACCTGTGTGCTTGCCCAGGTCCCCGCTGTGGGTTTAATGCTCTACGGTCACCACCCTGACCTCATATTTTCATCCTGCAGCAGGCCCCACAGCTATGTAGCCAGTCCTGCCAGGCACCCCATAGGAACTGAGTCCTTATGACCACCCTTTGGGCTGGTCGTAGCATCATCTTTACCTCATAGATAAGGGGCCAAGGGTCAGAGAGGTAAAGTATGTTGCTTGGGGTCACACAGCTAGGGCTGGAGAGTGGGATTTGAGACAGTTGGTCTGTCTGGAGAGCCTGTGCTCTTAACCCTCAAGCCTTGCTAACTCCAGGCAGGGAAGGGCGGCAGCTTCTGGTCTGCCTCCTGCTGCTCCTTGGTGCTGAGTGAACAAGACAGCACAACACTAGAGAACACTGTCACCTTTTTGTGTCTATCTTCTCCTTTGACTGTTGTAATAGCCCCGGAAGGGAGAAAAGGAAGAACCAACTTGAGATAGGCGTTGAGTTTCCGAGTGCTTAGGGACTTGCCATGTCTCCAGCCTCCATTCCTGTCCGCCCCCTTTCTCTCCCTCGGTCATCTCTCCTGTGTTCCTCAGTCATGCCTCACTCCTGAGAGAGAGAATGGTCTGGAGGGAAAACAAGGTCCCAGGAAGGGGGCAGCTGTGGAAGGAAGAGGCTACCAGGCAAGGGCTACCCTCAGCATTATATGAACTCTGACACTGGTTGGGACAGGATGACCCCTATCAAAGAAAACCAATCCTCAGGCAAGTACCTATTTCTCAGTGCCACCCACCTGGTAGTCAACACCTTCCAAAACCTCCAGGCCTCTCTTAGCACCCAGTCAGAGGCAGACAGTGGAGCAGGACCTTGGGCTTTCAGATGCCCAGGCTCCTTTCAGTACTTAGTTCCTCTCTCTCACTCCACTCCTTAAAAAGTGTTTCCTGTCAGACACCAGTGACTCACACCTGTAATCCTAGCTACTCAGGAGGCAGAGATCAGGAGGATCTAAGTTTGAAGCCAGCCCAGGGTAAATATTTCTGTGACCCTTGGGAAAAAGCCATCATGCAGCACACCCACAAAAGTGTAATGGAGTGACTCAGGCAGTAAGAGCACCTGCCTTGCAAGCATGAGGCCCTGAGTTCATAAACAAAAAAGAATGCTTCCCACGAGATCCAGCTGCTGGAGCACCAACTTCCAGACCCTGTGCCAGGTGCGGACCCCAGAGGCAGGATGGTCCTTGCAGCTTGGAAGAGCTGTCCTCTCTCAGTTCTCCCTCTTGCCTAATTCTAACCCCCACCGCCAAGTCCCCGCTCCTCTCCTCATTTCCCCATCCCAAAGATTCTCCCTTGCTTGCTTAGCTGGTGGGTGCCAGGGTTATGTGCCCAGGGGCTCAAATTAAGCAAAGCTGAGTTTGGATCCCGGCTCACCCCGTACTTAGCCTGAGTTTGTTACTGGACCTGCTGTTGGTTTCCCTTATCCCTCACATTTAATAAGACAAGCAAGACACGTGGCATGCCAGCACAGTAACTGTTTGGATGGCTTTCTGATCCCAATGGAACCCAAGGCAGAGCTGTGTTATTCTTCTCCTGTCTAGCACCCCACAGACTGCCCGGCCTCCTGGAGTGAAGACGCTTCCCAGGGTCTATACAGCTTCTTCAAGGAGTGCTCCGTGACTCCACTGGGCAAAATGGGTTCTTCCCCCCGCCCCCCATACCGATGCTTGACCTTGAGCCACTTCACCAGCCCTCCTGATCTCTGCCTCCTGAGTAGCTAGGATTACAGGCATGGGCCATGGGCGCCCAGCACAGAGCAGGTCCTTATTCCCATTTTGCTGGAATAGTAAACTGAGGGTCTGTGACAGGCCTACCCAGAGTCCAGGGAGCTACAATTTGTTCATATGGCTAAGACTAGATGAGTAGTCTGGGGCATGCCATGCAAAGATGTGCCACAAGGTCCCCAGCATAGCTCTTTGTAAACGCCATATGTGGTTCTGGTCTAGACTTAAATTCTCAGTGCCTTGATTTTTTTCATCTTGAGAATGGGGTGGTGTGACAAAGAAATAACATGTTAACTAAGCACAATCTCCCCCTCCCACCTCCAACATTGTCATCTTCTGCTTTTAGGTCAGGGGTTGAGGGTGGGGGCTGATAGGACTTCCGGGTTCCTAGACTCTCAGTCTGCATTCATAGAGTCTTTTGGCATAAATCACACAAACTCATGGAGCGTGAGTCAGAGTTGGATGGGCCGTGGAGATGACTTAGCCTTTCTTTTTAAATGTGGCAAAAGCATTGGTTTGGCGGTGTGGCTCAAGCAGTAGAGTGCCTGCCTAGTAAGCGTGAGGCCCTGAGTTCAAACCTCAGTGCCACCAAAAAAAAAAAGAAAAAGAAAATCATCCAAGGTGAATCACACATGAATTAACGGCCGTATACACCAGACTCTGGGCTCCATGTCTGTTTTTTCTCCAGGTACACAATTTGGTTTTAGATATTCCTGAGGGTTCAGGCCCTGTCCTAGGCCAGAGATACACTGACTCCAAAGTAATTCATCCTCTTGTTGGGGGCAGATTTGCCAAACACGCTAAAATGATTACAATACAAGGTGGTAAGCACTAAAACAGAAAGTATTTATGCTAAGTGAGCAAAGTTAGGCCATCTCAAGGTAGGAGGTGGGGGTGGCCAGAGGCCTCTGAGCTCCCCCACAGCACTGTTTCTCAATGATGGTGAGGGGATGTGTATCTTACAGGAAACATTCGGCAACATCCGGTCGAGTGGCAGTGATTAACCAGGAATTCTGCTAAACATCCTACAAGGCATAGGACAGCACCCCCCAGGGCAAAGAACTACAGAGCCAGGTGCTGGTGGCTCCCGCCCCTAATCCTAACCACCCAGGAGGCAGGGATCAGGAGGCTAGCGTTTGGAAGCCAACTTGGGCAAGTAGGCAAATAGTTCGAGAGACCCTACCTCGAAAACACCCATCACAAAAAGGGCTAGTGGAGTGGCTCAAGGTGAAGACCCTGACTTCAAGCCTCAGTACCACCAAAAAACAAACAAACAAACTATAGGACCCAGAATAATAGCAGTGCCATGTTGAGAAAGCCTGACTACAGGGGAAAAATGGAATTTTGGTGCAGTGGCTCATGCCTGTCATCTCAGCTACTTGGGAGGTGGAGAAAAGAGGATCACAGTTTGAGGCCAGCCTTTGTAAAAATGTTAATGAGACACCATCTCAACCTATCAGCCAGGAATGGTGGTATGTGTCTGTAATCCCAACTCTGGGAGGCATAGGTAGGAGGATTGCAGGTTAGACCAGGCAAAAATTTTGAGACCGTATCAGAAAAATACTAAAAGCAAAAAGGGCTAAGGGCATGGCTCAAGTAGTAGGAGGCCCCTGGGTATTACCACAAAAGAGGGTGGGAGGCAAGGATCTTGGGGGCAAAAAAGTCTTAAATATGACAAGGTCTGTGCTATCTAAGGGCCGTAAGATATAAACAGACAGTTTATCTGTGGTATTAAAATTTCAGAAGGGATGGGGGAAAAGGATGCAGAAACTGGTTTACAGCACAGCTGGTCCCCTTCCTCCCACGCCTCTTCAGGGCTCTGGCAGCCCAGCGCTTAACGGCAATGGCCTAAACTCTGGCTGGCACTCACTACCTCCTACTCCCTGCAAGCACTCTGGGCCCCTCACTGTCCTCATCTCGAAAATGGAAAGAACTCTGGTCTCCCTCCTGAACAGCCAAGGCCAGGGAAGGACCCAGGACCCCCACCACCTGCATAGGTGCCTCCATGGGAATGAAGACTGCAACCCAGGGGGCGTCAGGCGGATGGTTGAGCCTCGGTACCTGACAGCCCATGGCTTCTCTGCCACCAGCACCACCCTTCCACTTCATTCCTCTGTCTTGCAGCTCCGAGGCGGACTCGGACTCGCACAACAGCCCAGCAGGGAAGTGCTCACTATCTCTTAGCAAGTCCGTGGTGGATGGAGAACCCCACTTACTACCTCAGCCCGGGAAGGGGCTCAAATCCTTTGCTGATTGGAATTACGGTGCTGCTCTGGGGTTGGGGGGTCGCTTGACCCTCTGAAGCACAGCAGCTCTAGTCCGCCACTAGCGCGCACCGGGACACAGCAGCTGCAGGTGAGGCTCGCTCAGGGCGAGGAAGCCGGACCGTTACAGAGCCGTGGGTTCTTCTCACTTTCCGCTCAGCCTTGGCTGCTGTCGCCCCGCCAGGGGGCCACACATGGGGATCGGGGCCCCCTAGAGGCTCAGCGCACCTGGCCACCGTCGGGTGCCTGCGATGGGGGCGTCCGGCTGGCCCTGTCCCTCTCTTTGGATGATCGCTGTCCGAGTCCCGGTCCCGCACCCCCGCCGCTCACCTCTGCCAGCCTCGCGTGGCTCCTGAGCCGGGGTGCGGCGTCCCGCGGCTTCTTTAGGGGGAGCCCTCGGCCCGGGGCCAACAGCGCCGCCAACAGCATCACGCCAAGCAGGAGCCCGGCTCCGCCGGCGAGTGGACGCATCTTCTTCTCGCTCCCGAGGCCGCTCTGCGGGATCCACTGCCTCGCTCCAGAGCCTGTTCGCGCCCCGCCTCGCCTGCTCCAGCGGCAGGAGCGCAGGGTCCTCTTGTAGGGCGCTCAGAGGCCCCGGGGGCGCGCGGGCGGGGGCGCGCGGGGAGGGCGTCCTCGCGGCTCTCCGGGTCAGCGCACCGCAGTGTCCCCAGCCCTCCCCGAGGGGGGCCCCTTGGCGCTCGGGGACTCATCACGGCCCGGCGGGCTGCTCCCTTTGATCTGACCGCCTCTCCGCCTGCAGTCTCAGCCGCTGTCGCCGTCGCGGCCCCAAGCGAATTCCTGTTCGGGGGAACTTGCCTCCGGCCGCCCGGCTCCTGCCAGGAGGGGAAGATCGGGCGCCACCTCCGCCTTCGCCGACGGCAACCGCGGCTTTCGAGCAAGGGGCGCGCAGCTGGCTGAGGGGGTGAGTGGAGGGAGGCTTGTGATCTGGGGCGTCCTAGGAGGTGGGTTTGTGGGTATCCAGGTAGGTCGGCTTGGAAGGCGGCTGAAAGCGCTTCTCGCAAGACTTCCAACTCCGCTGCCTGCGGCGCATCCCCGCACCCGCTTCCTCGGAGTTGCGACACCCAGCCCCAACGTTGAGACTCAGGAGTGACTAAAGTCCCAGGCCAGCCGGGGGACACGCTCTGAGTCCCATTCTGGACAAACAGTGGGACTGCCCACGCCCTCCTCGAGGCCCTCGGTGTAAGGTCCTTTCGGCAGGCCACCAGGGTCAGCGTAAGAGCGACTGGAACAAAATGAAGGGCAGTGCCAACCCTGACGGGCCCGATGGGACCTTGGCGCCGGTCCGAGAGGCAGAGGCATCGGGCAGATGTTCTCAAAAACGACGGAGCCCAGAGTGGGACTCAGGTTTCCCGACAGAGCGGCGGATCCCTGGAGGCGGGGGATCAGCGTGGTCAGGAAGCCGGACGGAACTGGACCTGATTGAGCCAGAGTGAAAGTCTGTGCGGACTGTGCAATTTTATGGAGCTGCTGCGGTTCGCAAGAGTACAGCGAAGAACTCTGCAGGGTTTTGAATGGTGCATTACAGGGGCGACAGCCTTGGGTATGAGGTTGAATCACAAGGATTAGCTACTGGCAATTTTGCATGATCCAGCTTAATATGATGCCTCTGATATGCCAAACTCTCAAATGGCAGCCAAAAGAATCCTTGCTTTTGAGCACCTGCTACACTGTATTGCACTTGTGCTGAGGTTTTGGCTTTTTTTTTTTTGTCCATTTTTTTTTTTCTTTTGGCGGTACTGGGGTTTGAACTCAGGGCCTCATGCTTGCTAGGCAGGCACTCTTACCTCTTGAGCCACACTAGCTCCTGTGCTCACTATATTGCACTTACCAGACTAAATGAATGACTGCCCTTTATTATTATTACTATTATATTTTTGGCGGTACTGGGCTTTCAAGTCACTTGTTTGGCAGGCATTCTACCACTTGAGTCACTCTGTCTGCCCTTTTTTCTGTTGGGTATTTTCAAGATAGGGTCTGTCTAACTATTTGTCCAGTCTGGCTTTGAACAGAGGTACTCTTGATCTCTACCTTTCCAGTAGCTAGAATTTCAGCGGTGAGTCACAGTCCCTGGCTTTTTTTGTTGTTGTTGTTTTTCTTTTTTGCGGTGCTGGGGTTTGAACTCAGGGCCTATACCTCGAGCCACTCCATCAGCCCTATTTTTATGAAGGGTTTTTCAAGATAGGGTCTCCCCATTTCCCCAGGACTGACTTCCAACGGAGATCCTCCTGATCTCTGCCTCCTTTCTGAGTAACTAGGATTACAGACGTAAGCCAGTGGCTTCCAGCTCAATATTTAGTTTTCTCACACTTTGACAACTTCCAGCAGGTTAAAGTCAGAATTTGAAGATAATAAGTTCATTCATTTATGAATACCCGTCTTCATGTCAATCGCTACCACTCCACTCCAAGCCCCTCTCCCCTGGCCTGGACTGTTGTAACAGCCCAGTGACCACTCTTAGTCTCACCTCCCATGAAACTGATTATCTTTGCTTTATAAAATGAATTTCATTGATATATAATGTACATATGCAAACATGCCTATGCTCATTCCACATGTACAGTTCAATGATTTTTTTTTTTGTTGTTTTTTTCCTTCCTTTTCTTTTTGCTATACTGGGCATTGAACCCAGGACCTCATACATACTAGGCAAGTGCTACATGCCTCACTTTTTTTTTTCTTTTATTATTCATAAGTGCATACAAGGCTTGGGTCATTTCTTCCCCCTGCCCCCACCCCCTCACTTACCACCCACTCCACGCCCTCCCTCTCCCCTCCACCCCCTCAATACCCAGCAGAAATTATTTTGCCCTTATCTCTAATTTTGTTGTAGAGAAAGTATAAGCAATAATAGGAAGGAACAAGGGTTTTTGCTGGTTGAGATAAGGATAGCTATACAGGGCATTGACTCACATTGATTTCCTGTGCATGTGTGTTACCTTCTAGGTTAATTCTTTTTGATCTAACCTTTTCTCTAGTTCCTGGTCCCCTTCTCCTATTGGCCTCAGTTGCTTTTAAGGTATCTGCTTTAGTTTCTCTGTGTTAAGGGCAACAAATGCTATCTAGTTTTTTAGGTGTCTTACCTATCCTCACCCCTCCCTTGTGTGCTCTTGCTTCTACCATGTGCTCATAGTCCAATCCCATTGTTGTGTTTACCCTTGATCTAATGTCCACATATGAGGGAGAACATACGATTTTTGGTCTTTTGGGTCAGGCTAACCTCACTCAGAATGATGTTCTCCAATTCCATCCATTTACCAGCGAATGATAACATTTCGTTCTTCTTCATGGCTGCATAAAATTCCATTGTGTATAGATACCACATTTTCTTAATCCATTCGTCAGTGGTGGGGCATCTTGGCTGCATGCCTTACTTTTTTGTTTGTATTTTCTTTTTGAGGTAGGATCTCCATTACTTTGCCCAGGATGGCTTTGAACTCAAGATCCTCTTGCCTCTGGAGTTGCTGGAATCAGTTCAGTGAGTTTTAACAAATGTATATATTAATGTGACCATCACCACAATCATGATATAGAAACTTTCTATCACTCTAATTGCTGTGTGCTGTAAGAAAAAAATTGTGCATCAGTAGAAAACCAGCATTGTTCACATGCAGCTTGTGATGACCAACTTTTTTTTTTTTTTTTTTTTTTGCGGTACTGGGGCTTGATCTCAGGGCCTACACCTTGAGCCACTCCACCAACCCATTTTTGTGATGAATTTCTTCAAGATAGGGTCTCACAAACTATTTGCCCTGGCTGGCTTCAAACTGAGATCCTCCTGATCTCTGCCTCCTGAGAAGCTAGGATTGCAGGTGTCCTGCTAACCAATCTTTTTTGGTGGTACTGGGGATTGAATTCATAGCCTCACTTTTGCTAGACAAGCACTCCACCTCTTGAATCACATCTACAACCCTGTGATGGCTAATATTGACTGTCAACTGAACTGAACAGAGAAGGGCCTGAGCGAAGAGTAAAGCACACCTGCGAGTGTGTTGAGGGGTTTCCAGAGATATCAGATTGTGAAGGCTCTACACTCCCAAATATGAAGACGTTACTGGGAAGGTGAGAGGAAGGAAGTAGGGCATGTCCTTGGGGGTTATATCTTGCTCTGGCCTGTTCCACTCTGGCTTTTTGTCTGCTTTCTGGCAGCCATGATGTGACCTGCTCTGCCCTTTCCTGCCCTTCCCGCCATGATGGACAGACATGTCTGAAACTGGGAGCAAAAATAAATAATCCCTCCTTTAAGTTCTCAAGTATTTTAATCATAGTAACATTTACTGTTACTACACAGGTTATCTGATTCTAGTCTTTCATGATCTTTAAGCACAAAGGTTATAGGTAATCTATAGCAAAGAAGAGTAATTATTATCTGTAGAAATGTAAATTGTCCTGTTCTGTAGTTCAATTGACTTTTCTTTCCCAGTATGGAAGAAACCATATTCATTTCAATATTCATTTTTTTCACTTGCATATTCATTTTTAATATTGGTCACCTGTAAATTTCTGTTTTTATCTCCTTTGAATTGGTTCTATCTCCCTCACCAGTTTCCTCATTAATGAATTAAATAGAATCTTCAGCATGTGTACATTCTTATTTCCTCAACTCTTGATTTTATGTTTTGATAATTATCTTTTCACAATCTCTTTGTATAGTTAATTCCCACCCTCTAACCTTGGCTCCTGGCAACAAAGATCCCACTCTCTCACCATAGGTTAGTTTTGTCTTTTCTAGAATTTCCTATCAAATGAAATCAGTTATGTATCCTTTTATGTAGACTTCTCTGTCTTAGCAAGTTTTTGAGATTCATCCATCTTAAAGATGTTGCAGAGATCAATAATTTGTTCCTAAGTAATACTGTACCGCATGGGCATATTAAATTTATTTAGTTTTGATGGTACTGGGTTTTGAATTCAGGGCCTCACACTTGCTGGGCAGGCACTCTACCACTTGAGCCACTCCATCAGCCTCCCTAAATTTGTTTATCCACCTACCTTGATGGCTTTGGGCTGTTTTGGGGGCTATTATGAAAAGTAGCTATGAAAGTACAAAGTGTACTTCTTTGTGTGGACATGACTTAATTTTGCTTGAGTAAATAAATACCTATGAGTAGAATTGCTTTCAAAACAACATTAAATTAGCTTTTTGTGTCTGTATCTACTGGCAACTTACGCAAACTGCAGTTGGGCCATATTTTTGCTCACACTTAATATTCTAATTCTTTTTAATTTTAGCCATTCTGGTGTGTGTGGGGAAATGGGAATTTATTGTAGTTTTCATGTTTCCTTGATGAGCAATTTTTCCTGTTCTAATTGGCCATTAGTATACCTCCTTTTTTCTTTGGTGGTACTGGGTTTGAGCTCAGGGCTTCACACTTGCTAGGCAGGTGCTCTACCACTTGAGCTACTCTGCCACCCCAGTATACATTTTTTTGTGAAGTATTTGCTCAAAATTT